TAGTATAAAAGAAGCTCTATACTATTACTATATTATAGAGTAAGCTTTTCTCTCCTATCTAAGCTTACTAGTATTTTTCTTATAATACCTATATATCTTATTTATTAATAGTAATCTAGCTATATATCTTGCACTATATACATTAAGTAGCTCTCTAAGCTTATCTAGTAGCTATATAGGCTTATCTAGGAGCTTAATTAACTTAGAGTAATTAGTTTTAAATTAACTAAAGTACTTAAGTATTTATTACTATAGTATAGTAGATATAGTATAGTATTTATAGAGATATATATCTAGACTTACTATAACTAATAGTATTACTTATAAATAATAATACTAAAGTCTTTAAGAAGCTAAATATACTATTATAGTTACTAAGTATAAGCTACTATAGCTACTTATAGAAGTTTAGTATACTACTTATAAATTTACCTATTAGAGTACTATTACTTAGCTATTTTATATAAGCTCTATTATATAGAAACTTTAACCCTACTTACTAAAAACATACATATTTTACTAAAGTTATAGACTAAATATTAGTATTACTATATAAAGTATATAGAAATTAAGTTTATATAAGATATTTTTTAATCTAAGTAAAATTAATTATAATTAGAGGTATTAAAGTTATATAAGAAACAAATAAAGTATACTCTTAATTAAGTAAAAACTCTAATACTAAACCTATTTACTATAATTTAGTATTCTTTATATACCTTTATATTAGGTAAAACTACTACCTACCCCTTTTCTTTCTAATAGTTTATAGGCTCTCTTCTTTCTATATAGCTTTTAGGGCTTTTTTTTTCTTTTACTATGCTTCTTATAATATCTAATAGGCCTTTTTTAATACTTAATAAACTTTCTTAAACTCTCTACTTTAATAGGGCTACTAAAATAGGTAATAGTTAATAGTTATAGGTTTATATTATAGCCTCTATATACTTATATCCTATTATAACTTTAACCTTAAATATAGATAACTCTAACTCTAGTTTATCTCTTAACCTAATTATCTCTTACCTTTTACTTTTTCTCTTCTCTTTATACTTTATAATATCTAATAGGTTTACTACCTACCTCTTTTCTTCTCTTACTCTCTTCTTATTAACTACCTTTCCTTCTCTCTTCTACTTCTAACTTAATACTTACTTTTTCCTATTATTAACTTTCTCTTCTTCCTCTCTACTTTCTTATAATACTTAATATACCTACTATCTACCTTCTCTTATATATTATAGCCTTTTTAGTTTACTACCTTTTTAGTTTATAAGTATATCTCTCTACTACTTATTATACCATATACTCTTAGATAAGTTTCTATTATACTCTTTTTAACTACTCTTCTTTACTATACTCTTATAACTTCTAGCCTAGTTATATACTTTTATTTAGCTCTATATATAGCAGTTATTTATACTTTTAAGTATAAGTAACTCTAATCTTAACTTTAACCTATATCTAGCTCTAAACCTAATTATTATATAAATCTTATAGGCTTCTACTTACTCTCTACTTTCTACTTTTTTCTTATACTTCTTAATAGCTTAATACTATATCTCTACTATCTACTATCTACTACTAATAGTAGACCTTCTTAGCTTATAAGTCTCCTTACCTTTACTTTACTTCTTTCTATACTTCCTCTACTCTTAAACTTCTCTTTTCTATACTTTTATAGGCTTAGAGATATTTTATAGGCTTTTACTATACTCTACTAATATAGCTAACCCTAATTCTATACTAACTTATATACTAGCCTAGACCTAACTCTACTATTATTTCTTTTTTTCTTTCCCTTGCCTTAATAATAGCCTTCTACTACTATCTAATAGCTAAATATCTATTCTATCTTTTCTTCTATATAACTATACTATTATATTACTATTTATTAATTTTTACTTCCTTAATTCTTGCATATATATATATAAGTTAGCTAAGCGTCTCTAAGATATATAACCTTAGTTTAGCCTTAATACTAATACTAGTCTATCTCTACTACCTATACTCTATTATACTACTAATAAATAATACTACTTTAATTACTACTACTATTATATTACTAAAAAACTTCCCTTATATACTCTATACTATTTCCCTAGCTATGCTATTTACTCCTTCTAGTCCCCTCTAAGCTCTCTATTATACCTATACTACTCTTAAATAATCTAAAACCTTAATCTAGCTCTACTACTATTCTTGCTAATAGTATTACTATATTTAGCTATTAATATTACTTCTATATATCTTCTGCATTATATAGTACTTCTAACTAACCTAGCACTATTAGAGCTATAACTACTACTTTAGTTATAAATCCCTTATTAAAATATATCTAGCTCTATACTTATTATGCCTAGGTATATAGTATACTATATTATTTTATACTACTACTACTTAGTTATACTAGTAATATTTAGTATAGTATGCTATATACTTATTATATAGCTTATCTATTAGTTTCTCTACCTACTACTACTCTATACTTGCCTCCTACTATATTATGCTAACTATATACCCTTTTTTTATATTAGTTATACCTAGCTATCTCTAAGTTATTATACTTACTACTTACTATCTAAGTAGCTACTTATTAGCTCTTATTAATACTTACTACTAATAATAAATATACCTATACCTATATATCTAAGTTATTACTCTTCTACTTATTATTTACTTTACCTTGCCCTACTCTACTAGCACTATAGAATCTACTCTTTTACTAGCTTACCTTCTATACCTACTCTCTTATATAGTTAATTATACTCTATAGTATCTCTATATAGTATAATATAATTCTAGAAAAGTCTATACTTATACCTAGTACTAATATTACTACTATTAGCCCTCTTTTTTTTAACTACTACCTTAGTTAATCTCTATAGTTAGGTATGCTAGCATAATAGTACCTATACTCTAGCACCTTAGCTAGCTCCTTATATGCTACTTACTATAATAGTATACTATACCCTTTATACCCTCTACTAAGTAGTAGCTACTACTACTATTAATAAATTACTACTACTATTTTCTATACCTTGCTATACTTATACTATAATATATAGTACTATATATTTAGCTATATAGTGCTTACCTAGATATAGATTATTATATAGTATTAGTATACTTATTACTAGCTTATCTTTCTATACTAGTAGAAGTATTGCTATAAGTAGTATAATTAGATATAGCAGTAGCTATAAGTTTTTAGCTCTACTAGCTTTAGCTACTAGTTACTTAATATAAAGATAAGATAATACTTATCTACTACTACCTACTATAGTAGCTTTTACTATTAGTATATTTATATACTCTATAAAGTTACTATTACTTCATATACTAGCTATATTTATACTAACTACTATACTTACTAGGTTCTCTCTCTATACTTCTACTTAATATAGTTAATACTATACTTTTATATAGCTAACTAAATTCTTAATTAGTACTTAATATAGTACTATAACTACTATTACTAGTATCTATTAAGTAAGCTAGTATACTAAATAGTAAGCTCTTACCTCTACTTAGTAGTATAACTACTAGTAGCATCTACCTATCTATTACTATATATAATACCTACTCTTACTTAGCTAACTTAAAGCTAACTTTCTTCTAAACTAAGTATCTACTATATTACCTTATGATAACTATCTCCTTTATATACTAACTTAAAATAGCTTCTACTACTATATAAGCTCTTACTCTTCCTTCTCTCTTCTTCTTCTTCTTTTTTTTCTTCTTTAGTGCTATGATCTTTCTCTACTTATCTACATAAGTCTATATTACTTATCTATATCTTCTCCTATAGTGCTTAATACCTCTCTAGCCCTAAGAAGCTATAACTATATTACTAAGTATCTAGAATACTTAATTAAGTATATACTAAGATATTTTATAATATTAATTAGTATACTAGTTACTTACTTCTATTACTATTATTTATATTCTATAGCTCTATTAAGTTCTCCTCTCCTTTATCTACCTTAGCCTCCTCTACCTTACCTATCTTATCTAGATAGCCCTTACTAAATACTAGCTCTACCTTCTCTCTCCTAATTCTAATAGTAGTATACTAGTAGTTAAGTATATAGCTTTACTTTAATTCTCTTACCTATCTTATACTATAGTGCCTATATTAGTTAGTTAGTCTCTTATAGCCTATACTTATCTACTTATATATAGTTACTAAAGCTACTACTAAGTATATTATAGTTAAGTACTCTTAAAATAAGTATAAGTATATTAAATATATAACTATTACCTATTCTAGCTATAGTAGTAAGAAGTATAGTACTACCTTTAGCTTATCCTACTATAACTATAATATAATATTAGGTAACTATTATTACCTACCTATTAATAATAAAGATATTATAGTTCTATAGCTACTTATTCTAAAAGCGCATTATTATTACTTCTAACTCTCACCTAGCTACCTAGATATATATATATAGTAAGTAATAGTATTAAGAATAGTCTATATATATAAGTACTATCTAAACTTATATTCTACTTACTCTACTTAAGTATAGTCTATAGCCTTCTCTATTTATTTACCTATATAAGTATCTATTATAGCCTACTACTAAGCCTATTTCTAGCCTACTTTATAATAAGTACTAGCGTTTTATAAATAAGATATTATTATAACCTTACCTAGCTTAATAGTAAACTAGTCTTCCCTCCTTGCTATCTAGTATAGTTCCTGCTATAGCATTTACTCTACCTCTATAACTATATCCTGCGCTATCTTCTAAAGTAGCTAATATATACCTACTAGCTATATAAGTAGAAGATCTTCTTATCCTTTAACTAGTATATATTACTATATTACCTGCCTTAGCGCAACGTACTTATTATATACTAGTATATTAATTATCTTACTTATTAGGCTATATAAGCTATTAGCTAGATACTATTCTTACTACTAAGAATAGCTACTAGTTATTATTAGTCTACTTATTATAGTATATAGATAGTAGTTGCTCTTTATACTAAGCATATATATAGTATACTATGCTAGCAAGTATATATAAGTAATTCTTTACTATATATAAGTAGCCTAGCTCTATATTAATGCCTAGTATAGTAAGAAAGTAAATAAGCCTATTACTAAGTAGTTTACTACCTATTAAAGTAAAGAAGAATGCTATAAGTATATTAAGCAATACCTATATGAAGCACCTTAATTACTACTCTCTAGAGTATTCTATAGCTATATTACCTATAAGCGCTATAAGCCTTACTAATAGAATAGTTTATGCATATCCTTTATATAGTCTATTTTTTTCTTTCTATACTATAGATAATAGCTACTGCTATTACTTCTAGTATTATCTTTTAATACTTAACTATACTAACTATACTAACTATAAGCTAATATAGTGCTATTTATATACTACTATAATTACTTTTCTCTTTATCTCTTCCTTCTCTTTATCCTCTTCCTCCTCTTTATTCTCTTCCTCCTCTTGTCCTTTCCTTTTTCTTTATCTTCTTCTTACTTCTTTAATTATTATACCCTTCCTTATTACTATTATTACTTGCCTTACTCCTACTTTATTATAGCTTAGGCCTCTTTATTAGTAATATATAGAAAGTAGCATATAATCTAACTATATAGCTTATATAGTAAGCTTAACTCTCTATATTCTATAGTTAAGTAAGTAGTTATAAGTCTAGATATTATACCTTGCACTCCTTAACACTATCTTAACTCTTAGTCTAGTATTAATAGCCTCTATATATCCTCTCTATAGCCCCTTAACTAGATATAGCAGCTAGCTATAGCTTTACTTACCTTAATTAGTAGTTAGGCCTAATATATAACATATGCTAGATTATAGCCTATAAAGTGCTCTAGCTAGCCTATCTACTTAAACTAGC